GCGACAACAGCGGGGAGCGGAAAAAGAGGACCGACAACGAGGCTGCAGGATGCGCGGGCCTCCGTGGTGGCCCAGACAGATAGGCCAGATCAGAATCGGAGACATGAGTCACAATCCTGGGAAGGAAGCAGAGGAAAGATGCCAAGGCCAAACCTGCCCCACTGAAGCAAGGAAAAGGGACCAAGGTCCAAACTGTCCCACCGAAGCAGACCAAACAAGGAGAGACCAAAAGAAGAAAAAAAACACGCCCAACCAGGGCGCTCAGAAGGGCGGCAGTCACGGTGACGGTTACCCCGGGTTGCCGCCAAACGTATGCTGAGATAATGGCTACGGCGAGGAATAGTTTGAAACTCGAGGACACTGGAATCCAGGAACTACGAGTCCGACGGGCGATCACCGGTGGAGTCATATTGGAGGTCCCGAGTGAAAACAGCGCGGAAAAGGCCGCCTGCGCCAAGTGTTCAGTAACAACGGGGACGTGAAAGTATCTCGGCCACGTAAGATGGCCGAGATCCGCATAAGCGAACTTGATGACTCGGTCACCCCGGCCAAGGTGGTATCGGCAGTGAGCCAACCAAGGCCGGCGAATGCGACGCGGAGGATGTGAAGACCGGCGAAATCCACCACTGCACGCCGATGAGCATAGGGTCCATATAGGTGCCCTGCCACGGCGTACGTCGAGGCACTGGACAAGCGGCCGCTACAGTGCTTCCGCTGTATGGAGATGGGCCATACAGCACAGCACTGTCCATCCGAGACGAACAGAAACGGACGATGCTACAAATGTGGCACACCAGGCCATTTCCCGAGAAACTTCACCGTCCCGGTTAAATGCCCCTTATGCGCGGACATGGGCAGACAAGCGGACCATCGCCTAGGCAGTAAAGCCTGCAGACCACCGCTCAGGAAGAGGAAACCTCCATCCAGCAACGGAAAGAAACAGCAAGAGTCAGAAACGGTCCAACCGAGGCAGGAACAGTAATTATCACCAGCAGCAGTAGTCAACGAGGATGCAGGAGCAACCGAGAAGTAACCCACCAACTTCAAGGAAGGCCTTGAAAAGGCCATGGACACAATGGACTGATGGCCCACGCGGGCCGCATCCTACATGTCAACGTGAATCGTTCGGCCAGGGCGCAAGACCTGCTCTTGCAGACCATGGCCGAACGAGGAGCGAGATTGGTTGTGGTCGCCGAGCCACACAGCATCTCTGACAACTCGGGCTGGGTCGGAGACACGTTGGGATCCATCGCGCTGGTAAGGACGGGGAAATTTAATAAGTTAAACTCTCCATCAAGATCATGTGAAATTTTTAAATGTTAATATTTTTTCAATTTGTTTTTATGAATCTATGGATAACGATCATTTTTTGCTTGAAATGGAGTTTTGTCGATCGTGAGGTAGTAGAAAATACATAGGTAAACGAAATATATATATTATTAAATTCTAGTGGTAGAAAATATATAGGTAAACGAAATATGTACATTATTAAATTCTTCACGAATATCTTCTACAGATCGGTATTCTTCCATATTTAAGTGATTTTCATTTAATGCTTTAATACGTTTAATCTTTGGTTCTTTTCATTTACCTCTTAATTTGCAGCAAGATTGTAAATATGGTAGTAATTTAGAATTGGTTCGATTAACATTTCGGGAATCAGAGTTATTAGTGATTTAAGTGATGTGTTAAGAATGATAGTGAAGATTTTATCTTCATTACACATTTTCACGAGTTCGTTTAATCGTTGTTATACCCCTTCTTTTACATGATGTAAATTTATTAATTTTATTTCTGTTCGTTTTAATTTTAAAATAAATTTTATAATAAGAACTAATATTTGAATACATTTTTAAACGATTTAATTTTTAGTATAAGAATTTTTAGTATCACTATTAAAATTTATCCTCACTTGTGACGCTTAATATGTTAAAATTTTTTATTGTTCGCTGATGACTGACGACAGAAAACGAAAATACATTGTCAATCACCAATAACTGGCATGACACTTAATGTATTTAAAAAAAAAAAGAAAACTGGAGTTGATCAATCAGCAACATATCCTCACGCTCATATCCTCTCAAGAATAATCCTGGAATTTGAAAAGGAGATCTGAGAAACAGATCATTCGATATAATCAAAAAAGAAAGATTTAAGTGTTTACATTTCATTTCCAAACATATTTTATATACGTATCGCGATCTGAAAGATTTTTATTATAGACAGCTGGCCACCAAACTGATAAACATACGGACAAACAATTATTCATTGTAATGATTCATTCAATCATACCGAATTTAAAACTCGGTATCATTATTCAGCATTATAATGATACAATTCTTCACTCAATATCTTAAAAATTTTTTAAGAAAATTTGACAATAACATACAGAAGAAAAAAATTATTCGAAATGTTGGCTTTCTTTCTACAACATATTCAAAAATCATTACAATCGGTAAAAAAATGGTTAATCTACAACTTTAGCGTTTTTAAATATAATTTCGTAAAATTTAATTCAAATTATTATACTGAATAGATAACGCATGTTACATGAAAATGGTAAGGTGAAAAACATTGTATGTTAAATCTGTTCTGTGATTAATCAATGTATTACATTAACTAACCGAAATTTTACTCCATTAATTGGCCATTCCTCCTATCAGTTAATTTTATGAAATTAAATTTAAGTGTTAAGTATTAGATATTTATATGTCATTCACAATAAAAAAAAAAGATACTCGAGATTTTTTAGAAATATATGACCAACTAACAGTATTATTGTATCAAAAAATTATCTTACACAAAATTATAAAAAATATATAAATTTTATTTTTCTTTCTATGAAAAGTTTTACATAACTCAATTATGTATACTGCAACCTTACAATATACTTCAAATAATAATATCAATTGATATAATACTATAAAAGATCAGTCTGCACAAAGTTAAACATTTTTTTATAGATCATAGCTATAACTAAAATACAGTTCTTATTGTCTCAATTTCCTATTAATTCACCCATCCATATCTTTAACACAAACTCACTCTATCGTGACTCATAATATTTTTATAAGATTCTTATAAATAATAATACATCCCTAAAAATACTGCTATATGAAAAAAAAAGAAAACGTAATTTCGAAGTAAATATCATGAAATTTCATTTAAAGAAGTATGAAATACGCTATATTAACTTTTATTTGTAATAAAAAATTTAAACAATCTGAATTACTATGTGCAATATAAATAAAAAAAAATTATTTCTTCTACACTTTATGCTTCAAATTCTGTCTTCTATGTAACACAAAATTATGAATAAATTATTTCTTTTCTTATTTCTTTCTTTTTTCACTTTATAACTCTACAGCAAATAAAAAAAAAATGATAAAATATTACTGAAATAGTATTGCTATAATTCATATAATACGTATAGATTTGTATAAATCGTATAAAAATAAAAATAATCTGTCATAATACAAAAAATTTTTAAAATATAACTTCAAATTATTTTGTTTATGGTTTATATACCTTAATTTGTTTAATTATTTTGCTTAATTATTTTAAGAAATAATGACGCATATCGATAGAGATTATAAAAAGTATAATAGATCTTTCATCTTTCTCTCTGGTGAAAAACGTAAATATTGTGCTACTAAGTATGCAAGTTTGTGAGCGTATTGACAAGGTGCAGGAACTCTTACGGTACCAGACCAATTATAATACATATGACATAACTTATATGTCAATCTTTGCATTTGATCAGGTTTCCAACTTGTACTATCTGCAATTACATTGTATGAACATGGTGTCACCGTACCTTTTCGGACACTTTGAGATACAATAAAAAAGTCATATTTTAATGGATTAGTTATAACATCATCGACAACTGTACCCGGCGGAGGATTTCTTTGTTTATAGAAGATTCGACTATTAATTCGTTTTGTAACTATCACAAATGCCATTTTAACTGCTAAGGAAGCTTCTCCGTAAATAGTGTTTAACTTAGTCTGTATACGTGACAATTCGTGTTCATGTACTTGCGGTATTTGACCCTCACCAACGCCATCACGATAGATGACTATGTACGATGGTAGAATTTTATTCTTTTCTCTATAAGCCTGCAAAGCATGTTCTATATTTGTCGCGAAAGAAGTCGAAAGTTCCTCTCCTCCAACATGAGGATTTACTACAGTGAAGTATTTTGATAAATCTTTGTCTAATGATGCAACCATTGCACCAAAATCATTACTTTTTTCGGCAGGATCGTGACAAACATCAAAACCGATCACCATCAAGTTGGATGCTAACAGATCAATACTCCATGGAGCACCACCCAATTTGCAATTTATTTGAATAGCTACTTTCGTAGCTATCGTTCTTAAATTTCTATTCTGAAGAGTCCTGTGAAGTAAAACTTGTGAAGCTGTCGGCCTATCCAAAATACATTTCTTCTTTATTGCACTGTATCGTTCGGATCGATTATTTGGTACTATGCAAAAAACTAATTCAGGACTAGAATTACTCAGTATTCTCTCCAGAAGTGTGGAATAAGTACTGGTTCGATCGTCAGAAACATCCCAAATTTTTGGTTTGTCTATTCGACAACCCATCCCATATGCAGATTGCATAAGATATTGGAGGAAATCCTGCAAAATAAATAATAATGAATTAATAGAAATAAAGAATCAAATTTAAATTTAGAAAATTTTAATGTATCTGACCTGAATCAAGCGTTTACTCTGATTCGGGCAAAGTAATATCCAATTACTTAATCGAGTTGTCATATATAACGATTTATCATGCAATTCTCTTGTCCAATCAGCAAAATTACCAGTAGAAACTGGTCGGTTTCCACCCAATACTATTTTTTCTGGTGGCAAAATACGTGCTGGTACAGTAACCAATTTATTGTCAAGTTTCAAATTCCAGTCACTTAATTCTTTTGCGATTTCCGGTTGCGAGCGAAGTCTTTGATTAAAATGCATTAATCTATCTATGCGTGCCTCTGGTGTTACACGTGTATAATCTGCCAAATCCTTCATTAAATTGACATTATCTCTCATTTCATCAGTTAAACCTACAAAAAAATGGTTTATCATGAGATACAACAAAATCAATTATAGAAATATAGAACGTACATAGAATACAATATAGTGAAAAAAGCACCTGTTGCACGACATAATTCAGGAACAAGGTACACCAGTTCAGCTTGGGTAGCATTACGATCACGCGATTTTGCTTTTGTTACAAGCATTGGCTGATAATCGTTATCAATAATAATCTCATATTTACGTTTATAATATTGTTTGAACGATACTATTTCACCGGTTTTCAATTTAAACGTTGAATTCGGATTTGCACTATAATCTACATCGGATATACGATATGTGTGATTGTTGTAATCAGTAAGTACGACTAATCCAAGAACTCGCTCTTCAAAGAATGGCTAAAAATATGACATATTTAATAAAAATATACGATTAAACTTGAAAATACAATAATAATCAATATTCTTACTCGATATTGGTCCTTATGTTTAAAATAACAACCCTTCAATATATCTAACAAAGTTTGCTGGCGCATGACTTTATGTATAACTTCAGAACACATAAGAATGTTGCTTTCATGTTGCCTTATAGATGTGAGATAACCAGGCCAAAGTTCTAGTCTATAATTAGGTACTTCCATCTGTGTTTTAATTATAATTATATTAAGCAATTCATACTTACAAATATCAAACAATTCTAACATACTTCTATACTTACTTTATTGTCTGCGTCAAAGTAATCGCGTCCTACAAGTTGAAGTTTCAATGCAACCAGACATTTTCGCATAATTATATTAAAAAATTGAATATAATGTGGATCGCCTCTCAACATATCTCCAACAAGACGTATAGTGATTCTAATATTAACATCATCCGATTGTCGCTTAGACCAAACTTCCATCTAGAATTAAATTCCTATTGCAGATACTTACTTATTTCATTAAATACATATTTGATTCGCTGAAAAATATCTTACATCTGGTATACGTCTTCTACAGTATAAAACAGTTCCATCAAAAATATATGAGTCCAATTGATTTTTATGAGGTCTAAGTAATCCTTTACGGACCGCAGTTCGATCTTCCTCTGGTGCAAAATCAACTCGATATTGATATAAACACCAATCAGTTGTTGATAGTAATGTAAAATAGTTTGCTTGCATCATCACAGTTTCTCCAGAAGTACCTAAAAATTTTCATATTTATGTCATATATATTTATATATTTCACATACGTATACAAATATCCAAACCTCTTTTGACTTGCATAGTGGGTGGTCTTGTTATTATTTCCTGAACTATCGCACGTCTACCACGCATAGCTCCTCTTCCCAATTGTGCTTCTGCTTCACCCTCTATTAGAAAACATTGTATATGTAAATGTATTATATATGTAAATTCTTATAATAAATAAATTTTTTTATATAATTTCTATTTAATTAAATATGAAGACGAAAGGGTTCATAGTCGAATAATACATCTTCAATTGTAATCATTCTAAAGTACTTCCATTAAATTACATTACTGAAATAATAAAATATGAGGTTTATTAAACACACCTTGCGCTGATTCTGAACTTTCTTTACTTCTATATCCTGGTACATCTTCTTTCTTAACACCTAAGGCCCTTTGAGTGGCTCTTCCAATATTCTAACATAAAGTGAAAAATATTTGATAATAAAATAATACTTTAAATCTTTAACATAAACTAACATAAAAAAAATATTCAAAAATATTATATCTTGTAATAATTTATTACAAGATAATAAGATAGTAATATACAATATTACAATATTACATGTCACAGAACAATTAATATGGTTTACCAAACAATAATATACAATATACACCTTTACTATCTCCTTTGCTTTAGATAAATCTTGCTCTATATAAACAAACAAGTTTCCTTTATATTCTTAACATTTCTATATTTCTTATACACTTTTAAGTAAATACTTTGAACATGTTTTAAACCTTTTAAAGTATATTAAATATACATTTGAAAAAAACTATTACTATTTTATTATAACTATTTTATTAAAGCTTTTCTATATTTCAACAAAAATATAAAAGATGATAAAAAATTACCCTGATGATGATTTACTCTATATATACTTTTTATATACTTATTTCAAAATGAATTATACAGAGTAAAATACTTAAATCCAACTGTTATTGGTGACAAAAAAAAATGTAGCAGACTAAACTTACTTAGTGTCAAAGGACAAATAATCTGATGTTAATAGTTTTTTGATAGATGAACATACAAGGAATATATGACCTTGTTTTAAAATGGTATTAACTTTTAATGTTTCATTCTGTATATATTATATTCAGAGTTCTATGATTGATGAATTTAGATTATATAAATTATAAATCTAAAAACCAAATTATCAATTAACACATAAATTATACATAAATTATACATAAATTATACATAAATTTACCACCGGTAAAGGCGCTGATGTTGATGCTCTTAAAGATGATCCTGGTTGTTCAGGACTTAATGAAGGAATAGGACCTGACGAAGGACCTGGTGGAGAATCTAATGAGAGATATGCTAGAGGAACTGATGGAGGACTTGATGGAGGACTTGAAGGACCTGCTGATGGACCTGCTGATGGACCTGCTGATGGGCTTGCTGATGGAACTGCTTGTGGAATTGCTGGTGAAACTGGTCGACGCCAAGAAGTAGGACGAGATTCTGGAGGTGGCTGATAATAGCCTGTCCTTTTACCTCTTCCTCGGCCACGACCTCTGCCTCGGTCTCGATCAGCCATAATTTCTTTAACACTTAACAATTTTACAATAGAAAAACAGCAATTTATATGAGAAAGAAAAATACATTATAATTTAAAAAAGCTATCCTACATTAGTATTACATTGAATAAAAATAAAAGCAAATAAATTTTTTATTATTTAATAATGTTAATAAGAAAAAATAATTTTATCAATGAATATTATTAATTAATTATTAATTAATAATAATAATTATTAATTATTAATTAATAAGAGAAAAATAATTTTTTAAATCTACAATTCTCTAAATAAATAATTTGTTTTCAAATTATAAAAATAAGATTTCCTCAATTTGGAAAAAAGAATTTGTCCAAACACGCGTGCGTTAAAATTGCCAAACTGCTGAAAGCAAGGTTCAGTATTAAAACCGAAAACATTTAATATATGACTAAATAATGATTAAAAGATGATGATTGAAAGATAATGATTAAACAATGTATTAATTTCTTGAAACATAATCACTACGTATTTACGTATATAACATTGTATGATAAATACAAACATAATTATAAGCAAAAGCCGAAACAATGTAACACGAATTCAACATTCGTGGCAACGTGATCACACGAATTTCCATAATTTTTATACATTTAATACTAATATGTTGCAATTAAATTTTAAAAAATCAGAAAAAATAATTAGTAAAAACTTAAATGAACTATAATAAATAAAATTAAATATTAATTCTAATGAAAAAGATTTCTATTAATTTTAATATTACGTTAGCATATAAAACAAAATATACTTGCTACAGTTTTATATAAATTTATTTAAGCGAATAAATTTATTTGAATTTAGAAAGTTGCTAATGTTTATCTAACATCGACGTCACTTGTTAATTAAAACAACATTGATAAATTTAACTTAAATGAATAAAAATTTCAATTAAGTGGTTATTTCATTGAAAAAGATCAATAAAAAGTTAAAATAATTATGAAAAAAATATCTTACGGTGCACAGGAAATTTGGAAAAACGGTCAACAGTCAAACAAGTTAACTTACACGTGTCTAAACCGAATATTACTAGTTATACATTTGAAGAGAATCATTTGATTTTGACCTATCGAAGTTAAATTACAACGCATGCGTGCTGAAAATCAATCAAAATTTTAAATCTTTACAGTGTTGTATTAAGTTACACGTTTTCTAGGATATTCCCTTGTTTTGCTGAAATATATTACTATAGAAATACGTTAACATAAAAATATAAGAACGATGATTACAAAAAAGCAATTTTAGCGTATACTTTTTGTTACAAATGTTATGAATTTTTATTTGATGATAATACAATTCTTTAAAAAATTTTTTCTCATTTGCTCAAATTAATACGTGAATGTAAGTGTTCAAAGCGCATGCCCCATAAAAAATTCAGAGGAATTATGGGTAAATTCTTGCTACTTTTGTTTAAAAACATCAACAAAAATGAATCTGAGTTAAAGAAGTACGTAATTTTGATTCGTCAGTGAAATTCACTATACCAATGAATCTTTCTAGTAACTTAACCAATCATGAGAAGTAAAATAACTAAAATTATCTAATGAAAAGAGAAACGGAAAAAAAGAGATAGAGAGATAGATCAAAGTAGAATTAAAAACACGTTTATTTCTAATGAAATTAACCTGTAAATAATTTTTGTATTAATAACATATTAATAAAAAAAAAAAAAAAAAATGGGAAAACAAAAGAGACAGAGAAATAGACCTCATAAACAAAATCCTACAGGACTTGTGTCTGTCAAAGACTTCGAAATCGAAGAAATTAAAAATGTCACGAATGAAAATCGAGAACATGCTTTACAGAAAGTATATGAAGAAGTTAGTTTCTACTACATACAATGTTATTGTTCCATCATAATAGTTGAATACATAAAATTAATTGTAAATTTATTAATTACAGGTACAGTCTGCGAATGTCGAGGAAAAGTTGTCTGGATTGCAAACGATTGAATCAATGTCATGTAATTCATTTCTTGCTATACAGATTGCAAAAGATGGAATTGCTAAATTAATTGGGACACTACTTATTGATAAAAATGTACTTGTAAGAGCTAGTAGCGCGAGTGCTTTAAGATGTATAGTAGATAATGGAAAAACAGAAGCATATGCGAGTTTATTGAAAGATGACATTATGACTCCATTATGTACTTTGTTGAAGCAAGTAAGTTAAGAAGAATGTTCATTTTACTTTGATGAAAGTTAATAATTTGTATATATTTTGTAGTATTACAAGGATTGGCAACCAAAAGTTGATCATAACAAAAAAGGCAAAATAACTGAAGAAAAGGAAGCATTTATCCAAGCAGTTACATTGCTGTGGTCATTATGCGAACACAGTGAATTTGCTATAAAATGTTGTGACAAAGATGATATTATACCTATTCTAACAAAGTTTTTCGATGTTACTACTTATGATATTGAAATTGTCACAGTTATTATCCAATGTTTAACATCATTAACAGAAAATAATCCTGTTGGTATTAAGAAACTTCAGAACTATGAAAATACGCTTATTCAATTATTAAATATAGAAATAAAGAATACTACTGTTTCTGAAGTAGTATGTTTTAAAACTGCTATAAGTAGTTTATTGGTTAATCTAATTAATTGTAGTGAAAGTAATTCTATGAATATTGTGTATAAAGTGATAAGTGTACTTTCTGATATACTTTCTATTGACTGTAAACAGTTACTGTCCAATTTAACTTCAATGTTATCTCATGAAAAGAATGCTTTTTCAAATAATGCAAAGAAGAAGATACAGGAGAATCGAAGGATTTTTAGTGCACAGCAACAAGCGCTAGAGATTATAGCCAACTTATGTTCAGAAGATCAAGAAAATGAAAATGAATCTGATTTGGAAGATTCTGATTATGAAACTAAAGATATTGATGATGTATATATGAATGATAAATTGTGCAAAATCTCCTCTCTGCCATTAGAAATGGTAGAAATGTTCAATACTTGTAGCATAGTGAATAAAGTATGGAATAAAACTAGATTTATAGATAAAGATATAGAAATATTACAACAAACTGCTGAGGGAAAGGACATTTTAAAACAAGTTCATACACTAAAATGTACAACCTATTTATGTTTAAATAATTTGATATCAAGCTTAGAAGTTGATGCACTTGGTGGTGTAGAAAATATATATAGGTATGCATAAAACTTTCTTAAGTTAGAATTTATATATTATTGAAATGAAACTGTTTATATTATACTATTTTTAAGAATGTGGATGGACATTGGAACAACTGTCTTCAAAGACACAAATCCAAATGATATAGATTTATTGGAATCTGCTACAGCAGCTATGAGAGCAGCTATTCAAAAACTATCGGAAGAAAAAACAAATATTTTTAATCAATTGACACTGGCTGATATTCAGCCAATACTAAACGGAGAACGTCAATGTTCGAACACTAATATCCGTGTGAATTTGATACGAACATTGGGGACTTTGGCTTTGATTTTAATGAATAATGATATTCCTGAAATTCACGAGTTAATCAAGGTATAAATTTTTATTAAAGTGTACAATGAATGATTTTTTACAATATTATATTTTATTTTCAGTATGTGTCTACATTTTTATTAGACATTTATATAACAGAGCCATCAGTTTGGGTCATCGCTGAATCTTTGGATGCAATAATGGATATATATGCAGAAGACAACAGCGATCAGTTAGCAAGTGAAATTAAATTAGTAGAAAAATTACATACTTTGGTACCACTTTTTAAAAATAAGGTACGATTGTTTTCAATTTGAATATTATAAAATTCACATATTTTGAATTTATTGTTATAATTATTTTTTATTTATAGATGAAACAACAAAGAAAGAATTTAGGAGACAATATTGCAGTAGTGTCTACTGTGAATATAAATATCATAAGGTTCATAAACTATAAAGAGAAAAGGATCAGAGATCTGTAGAAGCCTTATTGTTTTTTTTTATATATATTAACTTTATATATTAACATTGTTTTGTCAGTTGTCACATATTAGTACATTAATGTACTACATTAATATTTACAATTTGTAATAATAAAAGCTTTTTATCTTGAAGCAACCAGTAGATAAATTTCATTATCTTTAAAAATAGCCGATCATATGAATAAAAGTAAATTTCATTATCCTTAAAAATAATCGATCATATGAATAAAAGTAAATTTAAAATATTCTATATTCTTTTAAATAAAATTATCAACATGCATTTCTTGTAGAGAAGACATAGCACAAATCTAGTATTTTCAGACTTTATTCTGCAATAACACAATAAATAACTACTAAATAAACAGGGAACAGCCTATGATCACATAATTTATACTCGAAATCTAAAACTTGATTTCTGAAGATTTCAAGTATATAATATGTATATTTGCAATTTGTGAACCTTTTAAAGTATGTATCTCGAAAAATAATATACTGTACTTAAGAAACATTGTAATTCTATCCTATAGTTATGTATTATGTAGAAGATTCTAAAACTATTTCAAATGATCAAAGTAGATTTGAAGCATTAAATAAAGGCACATGTACATGATGTTTATACAGTTTTAAAAAATATATCTCGACTAAGATCAATAGAGATATATATTGTTTTGTTTAAGAGACTGAAAAAATTGCACAATTTCCTACAAGAATTCGTCGTTGAAAATATAAATTTTAAAGCGATTTCCCTCTGGTTGACTCGAGGCTCCGTTTAGTTTCAGTTGGAGTTATATTAGCTTGAGAATCGTTTATATTTAAAGCACTATGTCTTCTGGGTTTTGGAATCGGATTTACATCCTCGAGAATCTCTGGTTTTTGTCTTATAGGTTCAGAAATATGAAGCTCGATTACTTTTATTGGATCTCTAGACACTACTGTAGGAATAGGCGAGTCATTTAATCTCACCACATGAATGTCCTTCTGTTCCCTTGGAAATTCCTTAAACTCTATCTTAATTGCACCTTTATCATTCTCATTTTCCACCATATTTTTAAAAAAATGTCTACGATTTTCCTGAATCGAATGTCTTACGTTTTCTTGCAAATTATTCGAATTTTTCTCTTCTAAATCCTTAGAAGCATTTTTTATTTCTAATGCTTTTATTTGCCTCTCGATCTTTTCAATCTCATCTTTTACTGAGAAACTGTCGCTTCTGGACAAGGAACTGGAAGAATTCTTTCTCTGAAAATTCTCTGATGAATTTATTTGATCGACATCTTTAATTGTTTCTATATTTTCCTGCGAAGCTCTACGATATTCGACCTGAATATCTTCTTCATCTTTTTTAATAGGTTTTTTAATTTTTTGATCCTTCGGAACTGAAATTTTTGTTCCTGCTTGCTCTACTTCTATAATTTCTTTTGGTTCTTTCTCGGTACAAATTTCCTTTTTATCTAATGTTTCTATATTAGTTTCTACAACTTTTATTGAATCATGTTCTGTAATAATTTCTTCAGATGCTTGCGTAGCATTCGGAATCGAAACTACTAATTTTCCTTCGTTATTAACCTCTTTCGAATTAACTTCGCGAATTTCTCCGTCTAAATTCTTGCTTTTCTTCGTCAGATCATCGATGTTCTCGGTAACTTTTGCTATATCGATCGGTTCCACTATCTGAAGTTCTATGTTAGTCCCTTCCGTAATCTTCTATAAACCGTAAAATGAAAGAAAATGTTTTAATTAATTTTCTTTTTCAAAGAATTTGGACTTACCTCGTCCAAATTTACTTTGTTCTAATTTTTTAAAGAATTTGGACTTACTTCGTTTGTTTTTTCCGCATTCTCCAAATGCCGTGGAGGCTGCGGTGCTCTTCGTTTTTTACGACCATATGAACTCATCGTACTTCCGACAGAAACACAACTGTTTATCGAGAGATTCGACTTTCTAACTGTGTCCTGAGAATATCTTTTAAACATGTAATCCCCAGATACGTTCTCATTCTCGTCACATATCATTACATCGCCTAATCGATCCGCTTCTTCCTCTAAATCCAGATTATTCGTGTTCATCCTTTGCGATGATCTGTTACCAAATCTTCGTCTTAAAAAAATTAAATACAATTAACATTTTACTCATTTTCATTGGTTTAATAATTATAATCTAATGTAAATTATATGCTTACAAAGGAGGAACAGGTGTTTTTTCTCGAATCTTTTCACGAAGTGTTACACTTTCACTATCGTTTGAGTTTTCATTTTCGAAATCTAACGGTGGTAGCTTGTCTGTCGGCTTTGGACTCGTCTGACCAAATCTACATATAAAAATTTGATTAATACATATATAAAAATGTAATTGATATTTTTTGTATATAATGTGTATATATAATTTTAACATTATATATATGTATAGTAATTATATTGTAATTACATTATAATTTTAGAATTTTAAAAATAATGCAAGTTAATATAAATATATTTATAATTTTGTTTATATAAATACATTTGTTTGTTACTCAAAATAATTTACTCTTTGTATCTGTATATTTTCTTTCATTATTTACATATCTTTTATAATCTTTATCACTCATACACACCACAAATACTTAAATTGAGACAATTTTTTCTTCAATTGATTGTGATAAACTAGATAGTTAAGATTCATCAGTTATAAAATATTCAGATAAATACATAATATTTTACTTTCGTAATATCACTTAATTGCAAATAACAGCTATTAGAAATTAGAACAATCGTTATCTATAAAGTTTATAGAATTTTTGTGTTTCTATTGATTTATTAGTTGGTGTAATAGTCATTCATAATAGCAATTCTCTAATTATTTTGAGCAAGGCATGTGTATAATACCTTTAGAATTTATCTCAAAAAAATTATAATAAAATTCGACAATATATTAGTATGTAATAGTACTATTTCATATACATATATGAAATTGAATTAATATGTAATAATATATACATATATAAAATAGAATTAAAAGTGTTCACCTTCGTGCTGGTGGTTTCGGTGTAAGATCACCCATGATAGATGTAGTGGTTTCTTGCGGACTACCGTCATAAAGTCTTGCAGGATCACCATTAACAGTCAAGCTCGAACTGTATCTCGACGAAGAATTATCTAACGTGTGTTTTCTTCTTCTAGTTAAAGTACCAAGTGCTTCATTAAATTCCTGTTGGTCCCTCGTTATATGCGGCGGTACAGGCATTGATTTGACGTATGATTCCCTTTTATAAGTTGACGAAACTGTTAAAAGCCGATTATTAAGATTAGTTAAAATATATCAAGCAAAACTGAAAGTAACTTTTCATACAAAATTATAGCGAAAACTTCATATAGAACTTTTAATACTCTTTACTAACGTAGTTAGTAAAACATTCCTTAAATACCTACTTATTATAATTTAGCAATATCTACTTTTGTTAGAAAATTTTAATTTTTAATTTATTAATTTCAATTTTGCATTTTTATTTTCTTCTTTAATAGTAGGGCTTTTTGATAGTAACCTGTGGTGATTGTAGATCTTTTTTCCTGAATTTCCGATTTGTCGTCTTTTCGCTTACCGAATAACCCGTTCCTGAAAGCAAATAATTCAAGTTTATGTAATGAAATAAATAGATCTATCACATTTGTGTACCAAAACGTCTTCATGTTTGCTATGCTTTTAATCCGCATATTTTGATATTTCCAAATAAAAATTTCAGAACTAAGATAAATTAAATTTAACAAAGAATTATAAAAATTTACTTTCATTCAATTTCAATTAAGTATTAATTATAAATAGCGATTATCAAAGACAGTTTTTACACTTTCCTATTATTCATTGTATGATGTATGATGGCTGCAAAAAAATGAATAGTTTCTAATATTTTCAAATTTAGTAAATTTATCTTTGATTAAAATATTAATAAGCAAAAAGCAAAAAAATATCTATTTCATTAGTATTCTTATATTCAATGAATGACAGTGATAATAAGATTTAAAAAGTTATTTCGATATTTGAATTACAACTTATAATATTTATTTCTTCTAATTATCAGGAATAACTATCATCAATGAGACACAGAATGCACGTTTTTTACAATTCATTTGTGAATCAATTCTGCAATAAATATATCTACAATACTCACAAACTAGTACAATGGCTATAATATAATATAAAACATAATATAGACAAGCGTCATAGTCAATTTATGAATCAATCTTAAATCTACAAACGAATAATAAACTAACAAATTGAAATATCAAATGTATAATAATCATCGATTAACGCTATTTTCTTATTTTATCCGATGCTCAAAATACATATTTGTTATAATCAGTATCGTAAGTGTTAATAGCTATGTACATCACTATCGTATACTGACGAACAATAGATTTTTTTATTACTTTTTTTTGATTTTTCCTGTCAAACGTCTCTGCAGCAATAATATTACACGATCGAGTTTAGCGATCTTAATATGTTGTATTTTAATATAGCAGTTAGTTTCGACATGAACTTTATTATAATATTGTGGCAATAAAATTTTTGTTTCAGATATGTCGGTTCGAGCCTATTTTAAATCGCAAAAATCGAGAAAGAACTTACAGCGATCGTGTAAAACAAAATCTAACTCGAACTTAATTTTTACCTTTCATTTATCGTTTATAGTTTATAGATTTAATCCTTTGTAATTTCATCTTCCTGATACATATATGTACATATAACATTGATGATTTGATATAACAAATTACAGAAACTCTATTTTTAATTGTAAAACGGTAAATATATAGTCACTTAATCTTTTACCGTATGCATAACTTAATATCGTAATTTATAGTTTATTAATATAACTTAGTATTAATAACTAGTGATTACAGTAAATTTGTAAAAATTATAAAACAATACGAGTAAAAATTCGCTTCTACGAGTAAAAAGGTTAAATAGATCACTAACATAAACGACGAACATATGTTTCCAGCTGTGTCACAGATACGCATGAGCTTGTAAGGGATGCGTTCCCCTACCCTTGGTTCTACAGCCAAGACGATTAAATGTAATGTGAGAGACGCATACCCGGGACCCGGTACCGCAACTGCCAAAATTACTTTATGGGAATGACCTTGCTAATAGCCATAAAAGATCACGTGATCGGGAAGGACACAAAGAGAATTGGCCTACATAAGGGCCGATGAACGGTCGAGTTCGAAAGTGCATACGCATCTCTTGACCACGTGCATTGCATAACGAAGTAAGTTTGACTCGCATGCCCTACGTAACGTGCATAAATCCAAAACCAACCTGAAACAGGTCTCCCGGATAAACAGGACGGGCCTAAAAACACAAAAGAAGCAGAAAAGAAGCAGTTCTACGCACCTGCAGAAATAAGAAATTCATAGGTACCAGCGAAAAGAAAGTACACAGAAGAACTCAGATCTTCATCGTTATCAAATTCAATGAAATCGTAAGTCCAACAATACAAAACAGATTCGGTATATTTGCTGACTGTTTTATCGAAGACTAGGACATGGAGAAAAAACTCCACAGTTATACATCCATGGCAAAGTCAACCACGCAAAATTAGACTAGACGCACTCAGAAATAAATATTAAAACGTATTCCAGGCCAAACTCTCCTTTGATAAACTAAAAATAATGTTTAGCAAAGTTAGCGACTTCAACGAATTCAAAATCATATGCCAAAAAAAAAAAAACATCGAGTATCAAACATACACGATCAATTCTAACCATAGACAAAAGACCATAACAGTTGTATTCAAAGGCTTAATACGTTTAACCGTATTCAGAGTACGCGAAAGCATAAAAAACCAAGGACTTAATCCACTCTACTGCGCTGAAATTGTCACCCATACTAAATACCCCATCTACAGAGTCACCTTTACCTCAGAAACTACAGTTACTCAGATCAATCATGTCCTAGTTTATAGAAACCATAAAGATTTACTGTAAGGAATATAAATCACATAGGCCCAATGCTTCGAATGTTAAGCCCATGGCCATACTTCCGCAAACTGCAACAAAAAAGTAGTTTGCGTAAAGTGTGCCGGACAGCACGAGACCCGAACATGCACAAAAACGCTAGACAGACCACCTACATGTACCAACTGTAAAGGCAACCATCCGGCAAACTACTCCGTGTCCAGCATTCCTAGCCTTCCTATCCAAAAGGAATAACTATAGACCAAAAAATGCATGCATACAACCTCATATTCCCTCCAACCCCTCTACAACAACATTCCCCGCATAATCCCCCAAAAAATCCTTATCCCCACCACTACATTCCCCTATACAATCTACAGGCCAAGCCTCTAGTGCAAGAACAGTATTCTCACAGCTAGATCCCCAAACACAACAAGCTAACCAACACTGCAACACAAATCTTTCAGAATTGAGCTCCAAACCCCCGACTTAAATCTCTTTCTCAGGATAATCTCATTGATACAAAAATATTATCTTAAATGCACAAATAATTTGGACAAAGCTATCATACAAATAGTAATCGAAAATGGGCAGCCATAAGAAACCTTTAAATATTATTTTATGGAATGCCACTAGGATCAGAAACAAGGCAGCTGAGCTGCACAAATTCCTCACGAAACATAATTTAGGCATTGCCATCATAACGGAAATTTAGCTAATTCGAAATAAAGCTCCTTCAAAAAACCCTAAAAATCCCAAACTACACCATACACAGAAAAGACGATCCAACATCCGACACTAACAAACTCAGGGACGGGATGCTTATAGCAATACGAAACAGCATCCCTTCTGAAAACATCCCACAACCAACATCTCCCAATATTGAATTCCTGTGAATTAGAACGAAGACCACCCCAACCATAACAATAAGAGCGGCATATACACCTCCAAAAACTAATATTTCCTCTTCCGACCTAGACTTCATTATACTTCACAACGACCCGGGACATTACTTCAATGTGAAGCACTATATCTGGAACAACCCTGGAAAAAACAGAAACAGCTCCATCATCAACCATGCTGAACTCCAAAATTATCCACCTACACTCACAGGTAACCTAACTGCACTCTGTCTAACATCGATATCTTCCTATCAGACACATGCCACGCTATAGATGACCTATCTTCGAACCACCTACCGGTTTCACTTTCGTTCCTAACAAGGAAAAAAACAACACAGTAACACACACCCAAACAAACTAACTGGAACATGTATATCAAACTTTGTAACAATTTGCCCACCGTAATGCAACACTCTCAAAACCACAGCACTATCACCATACTACATAAAAGAAAGAAATAGACACAGAAGAAAATACCAAGAACTGGCAATCTCTCCTCCCCCCCTCCTACCACAAGTTCTACAAAAACATACTGTTCAAAACTTACGAAATTTACGAAAAA